CATTCCCTACATAGCTCTCCGACTAATCAGATTCCAACGGGAATTAATCTCGTGAGCTCCGGGATACTTCACAGCGATTCAACGACCATATAAATGTGCAAAACTCTCCCATGAACTGCAGTTAGACATTTTCGTGCGCTGCTTCACATGATTTTTCGTACTCACTTTATGCTAAGTCTAACTACCAGCAATTCACAAGTAGCAGCGTAATAGTCGATTATTTGAACAGGATTTCGACGCGGTCGTTCCATGACAAAAACGCGTTGCGTTTTTAGCCCTATTTCCTTACTGATCAAAGCAGCAGCTCAGCCGTCATACCTCAGTCGACTAAGTTGCGTGCTTCTTCAGAACGGTAGATAACATATCGACTTGTCAGATAATTTTGGTGAGTAGGTTTCTTAGAGATTTTTGACAAACTACTTCGGTTGCTAACCTTCGAAGTCCTAGCTCTGCCGCGTCAACAGGGCCTTGAATAGAGGGAAGGGAGCGACTCGACGGTTCGTAGTCGACATTGTCAGGAAGCCCTCGATCTTACAAAACTATACACTAACGGCTTCTCTCTAGCGAAACTGCTACGATTGTCAGGATCATTTACGAATGGCAGTTGCCCGAATGACGGCAACGGACCGCCATGGCTTATCACTAAATGCGATATAGTGCGGTTCATCCTCTAATATCATTGCTAGGAGGGTAGAGATTTTCGAACGTAGGCTAATGGAGCTCTTGAATCGTGATAACTCAATCATCTGCTCCAGGGACCCAAACAATCTGAGACAAAGGTCAAAGTCAGCTGATGTCCATCCGTCTGATTGCAACACACCAGAAATATTTCGGTCAACAGACTCATGTTGATTCGAAAGCAACGTCCATGAGCGATCGAACGACAACCAGCGCAGACTGTACAGCGTAATTTAACTCACTTCTGGTTCGCGCCTTGGTCTGGAATAAATTCCAGTGTTTGCTGCGTACTCGCCCTGTCAACCCTTCTATACTGGGGATTGGTCTACTCTCTACTCTAACAGAGTCCGACACAACAATCATACACTCTATGCAGGTGCAAAGGACAGTGCTACTATACTTATTTTTTTAATCCCCAAAAGATACTGCGTGGGTAACAGTCACTTGGATTGCTGAGGCCAATACGCAATCGTGACGTATAGGAACACTCCTGACGGAACGCTCGGCCAACCTAAGTGTGTCCAGGGCTGCACCGAATTTGGATAATTACTAGCGTTGGTGAGACGTGTGACGGTTCTCTTAATACTAAGAACATCCTTCGCGATAAGAACCAGTCTTGCATAAGGCTGAATAAACTAGAAACTGTCGTGATGTTTGAGGCTGAGCATACTGGCACAAGTGCGGAAGATGCCAAATTGGTACGAATCAGCTAAGTTGCACTTTGTGGTACGAATGGTAGTCAGAGGTGCTCAGTTCGATTTCTATGATAGGGAATGATATGGTGACTATAAAAATCCAACGAAATACTCCTCAAAGATCCTGGTTACCTGTATGACCAATTTCTGTGAGTGATACGTGGTCGGTTTAGTCGGGATGGGTGATGCGACACTAACTTCTGGCGCCGGTCTCACAAAGAACACGGTCCGGGGAGCAAAATCCACAGCATGGATGCGATGAAAGTGAATTAAGATGATGGCGTCAGTCGCGATCACAAGTCGGTTAACAAACTCCCTCGTTTTGACTTCGTCGCAATCAGCCGACAATTCAGATAAGTCAACTACCTCTCCGGAAACGTATATATATATATATGCTTATTTTTTTGCTTATTTCTTATTTTCACGCTTACCTATCTCGCTGCAGTTGTACAACTTTGTTTTACTTAACGGTATATATTTATATATATATACGTTTCCGGAGAGGTAGTTGACTTATCTGAATTGTCGGCTGATTGCGACGAAAACAAAACGGGAGAGTTTGTTAACCGACTTGTAATCGCGACTGACGCCATCATCTTATTTCACCTTCATCGCATCCATGCTGTGGATTTTGCTCCACGGACCTTGTTCTTTGTGAGACCGGCGCCGGAAGTTAGTGTCGCATCGCCTACCCCGACTAAACCGGCCACGTATCACTCACAGCAATTGGTCACACAGGTAACCAGGATCTTTGAGGAATATTTCTTTGGATTTTTACAGTCACCATATCATTCCCTATCCTAGGAATCGAACTGAGCACCTCTGACTATCATTCGTACCACAAAGTGCACGTTACCTGATTCGTACCAATTTGGCATCTTCCGCACTTGTGCCAGTATGCTCAGCCTCAAACATCACGACAGTTGCTAGTTTATTCAGCCTTATGCAAGACTGGTTCTTATCGCGAAGGATGTTCTTAGTATTAACAGAACCGTCACACGTCTCACCAATGCTAGTAATTATCCAACTTCAGTGCAACTCTGGACACACTTAGGTTGGCCGAGCGTTCCGTCAGGAGTGTTCCTAGACGTCACCATTGCGTATTGTCCTCAGCAACCCAAGTGACTGTTACCCACACAGTCTTTTGGGGACTAAGAAAAATAACTAAATAGTAGCACTGTCCTCTGCACCTTCACTGAGTGTATGATTGTTGTGTCGGACTCTGTTAGAATAGACCAACCCCAATATGGAAGGGTTGACAGCGCGAGTACGCAGCAAACACTGGAATTTATTCCAGACCAAGGCGCGAACCAGAAGTGAGTTAAATTACGCTGTACAGTCTGCGCTGGTTGTCGTTCGATCGCTCATGGGCGTTGCTTTCGAATCAACATGAGTCTGTTGATCGAAATATTTCCGGTGTGTTGCAATCAGACGGATGGACATCAGCTGACTTTGATCTTTGTCTCAGATTGTTTGGGTCCCTGGAGCAGATGATTGAGTTATCACGATTCAAGAGCTCCATTAGCCTACGTTCGAAAAGCTGTACCCTCCTAGCAATGATAGTAAAGGATGAGCCGTACTATATCGCATTTAGTGATAAGCCATGGCGGTCCGTTGCCGTCATTCTCGACTCGGTGACATTAGTTACTGATTTGAAAGAGTAAGATCATGGGTTATAATCGAGCTGACGCTCGCTACTGACGAGTTCTTATAGAATGAAACGGCCATCTAGCGCTTTCCTGGATGTGTGATGGCTGTCTGGCTGTGACGAATTTTCCCAGAATTATGCTGTGTAAAATCCCTCCTTGATGAGCATTCCCTCGACCTAATCGATGTAGCACCTTTAGTTCTGGTAACTGTGCAGTTCTATCGCATCGCACGTCGTTGCACACCCTCTCGCACGCGCATAACGAATGCTCCTACTCTGGTGTTCAGCTTGCTCTAACATCAGTCGCGATGTCTTTACCCTAGTTCGTAACTTCGGGCAACCGCTATTCGTAAATGATCCTGATCAATCGCAGCTGTTTCGCTAGAGAGAAGCCGTGAGTGGATAGTGTTGTACAATCGAGGGCTTCCTGACAATATCGACTACGAACCGTCGCGTCGCTACGTTCCCTCTATTCAAGGCCCTGTTTGCGCGGCAGAGCTTGAACTTCGAAGGTTAGAAACCGAAGTACTTCGGCAAAAACCTCTAAGAAACCTACTCACCAAAAGTATCCGATAAGTTACTCCGACACATGCGTTCCTTCGTCGGTGCTTCCATACTGGCTGATTCCATTCTCCGCCAATTGTGGAATAATTGTCTCCCAGCGAATGCGACGGCTATTTAGACGGTTCTTGCCGACGATCTTCCGCTAGACAAACTAGCAGAAGCTGCCGATAAAGTCCACGAACGCTTCATTAAAACGCCGGTATACCACGTCACTGAGACAAGCTCAGGCAACCCCTCCGGATCCATGCTACTTGATACAATCAACGAGACTTTCTAACTTAGAGCTCACCTTGTCCCACCTCAGGCGTGACCGCGTTCCTTCGCGACGATCCATGTCTCGATCCAGACGTCCAAGCAACTCTCGTACACGACAGTCGCACAGCTGTTGTTATTATCACCACCGTTTCCGAGACGCAGCGCGTAGCTGCCGTCCAGGGTGTAAACACCCTAAAGCCTTTTTAACTCCTACGTCGGGAAACCATATGGCCAGCCAGTAATGGCGGCGGCTGTCGTTGGCCAGGTTATTAGTCGCCTGTTGTACGTATTTGACTCCACAACCAGACTTCACTTCTTGGTTTATACTGGTGCAGAAGTCAGCGTTCTCCCTCGTTCTCTGGAAAAACGCCCCCTGCAACCAGCTGATCCGATGCTTACGGCAGCTAATCAGACTAAAATCGCAACCTACGGCCAGAAATTACTTACTTTGAGTCTGGGACTACGGCGTAACTTCCCTTTCATTTTTACCATCGCCGATGTGCAAAATCCCATTATCGGAATCGACTTCCACAGCAAGTTCGGTCTTGTAGTCGACCTACATTGTGGGAAATTAGGAGACGATACTACGTCATTAAGCATACCCTGCTTCAGTCAATTCTCTCAGCCTTCGCATCCTTATACCTGACGACTCACAGTACTGTTCATTGCTCCGACAATTTCCTTCCCCAATTCGAGCAAGTAACGATAGTTCCGACTGTAAAAACGATGTACGCCATCACATCGTTACAACCAGTCCGCCAGTAACGGTTAAACCTCGACGCTTGCGCCCTGACAAACTTCAGGCAGCTAAAAAGTAATTCCAACACATGATTGATCTCGGCATCGTTCGTCCTTCAAACAGCTGCTGGGCATCATCTCTCCATCTGGTGTCTAAAAGGTCAGGTGATTGGCGACCATGCGGTGAGTACCGTGTTCTCAACAACGTCACTGTTCCCGATAGATATCCTATCCCCATATCCACGATTTCTCTCTTGGACTAACCGGAAAGTCAATCTTTACCAAACTCGACTTAGTCAGAGCTTACCATCAAATCCCAATGGCGGAGGAAGACATCGCAAAAACCGCTGTGATCACTTCATTTGGCCTTTACGAATTTCTTCGTATGTCTTTCGGCCTCCGAAACGCAGTACAGCAGCCTAATGGATCAGGTCCTCCGTGGCCTTGATTTCGTCTACGTTTACATTGACGATGTTTTGATCGCAAGCGCCACATCTGACGAGCATTTATCACCACTCCGAATGGTTTTCGAACGCTTTGAAAACCACGGTATAACCATCAACCCGGAAAATGCAAAGCTGGTCAGCTCACCGTCGAATTTCTCGGTCACAAGATCGAGGGTGAAGGCATTAAACCTCTCCCGGATAAATCTCAAGCGATCCCCGACTATCCGATGCCCCAATCTGTCCGAAGCCTATGCCGATTTCTCGGTATGATCAACTACTACGGCAGATTCATTCCCAACTGTGCTGATTTACTTCATCCGCTTACTGATTTACTGAAAGGAAACTCAAAGACGTTAACGATAACCCCAGAAGTTGAAGACGCTTTCACGGCCGTCAAGCAGAAGTTTAGCGAAGTCACATCTCTCCATCACTTGAACACCACTGAGGACGCTACACTTGTCCTTAAGACGGATGCTTCAAGTTCCGCTGTCGGTGCAGTTTTGCAACAGTTAGTTGATAACGAATTTCAACCGCTGTCGTTTTTCTCACGGAAGCTACAACCTGCTCAGGTCAGGTAAGCACCTTTGGTCGTGAACTGCTCGCCATGCACTTGGCTGTAAAACATTTCCGTCACCTTTTAGAAGGACGCCGTTTCATACTCCTGACAGATCACAAGCCACTGGTGTACGCTTTCCGTTTTGCGTCGGACCGTTACTCACCCCGAGAAACGCGTCATCTTGACTATCTTTCGCAGTTTTGCGTTGATGTTCGGTATATCGACGGTTCTAACAACGCTGTTGCCGATGCATTATCCTGCGCTCATATGAATCAATTGTCATCAACACCCATCGACCTGGAGAGAACAGCGGCCGCTCAAAACGATGATCCTGAGCTTGTGCAACTTCGATCAAACCCCTCATTGAAAGTCACACAATTGCCCGTACTTAACTCTGACATAAGAGTTTACTGTGACCTTTCAACCGGTAAGCCTAGACCCTTTGTCCCACGATCATTTCGTCGAGCCATTTTTGATCATTTTCATGGTCTTTCACACCCGAGTATTCGCTCCACCGTAAAGCTCATTACTGACCGCTTCCTCTGGCACAATGTGTTCAGACATTAGACATTGGGCTAAACATTGTCTCGGTTGCCAAACCAGTAAAGTTCATCGTCACACAGTCACTACCCCAGGTACATTTTCACTCCCTGACGCACGTTTTAGACATGTTCACGTAGATATTGTTGGCCCTTTACCTCATTCCAATGGTTTCACTCATCTTCTAACATGTGTTGACTGCTTTACCCGTTGGCCTCAAGCTGTTCCTTTACGTGACACATCTACCGAACCTGTTTCCCGTGCTTTTGTCGAATCTTGGATCTCTGTTTGGTGTTCCATCCACCATCACTACCGACAGAGGGACTCAGTTCAGTTCCACACTGTTCCGTGATCTCAGTCGTTTATTAAGCTGTACTCACATAAGAACAACTGCGTACCACCCCGATGCCAATGGTCTCGTAGAGCGCTTTCATCGACAATTAAAAGCTGTCATCATGGCTAGTTCATCCGACTCACGCTGGTCTGAGCGCCTACCTGCGATCCTCCTTGGCATACGCAATACAATCAAAGAGGACATTGGGTGCTGCCCTGCAGAACTCGTGTTCGGGACGACCCTCAGACTACCTGGTGAGATGGTACTGGACTCTCGCACCACCGGCGAACTAGACCTGGTACGCTGAACGCCTCAAACCGCATTTTCGATCCATTCGACCAACGTCTACGCGGCCTAACATACGTAAACAGCAAATCCACCCCGATTTGCACAAGTGTCCGTTTGTTTTCATCCGCGTCGACGCCGTCCGAAGACCTTTAACTCCGCCCTATGAAGGTCCGTACCATGTCTTATCACGGAAACCCAAGTATTTTGTGTCGAATAAGAATGGATCAAAAGAATCCGTGAGCATCGACCGACCCAAACAAGCTTACGTTGAACCTACAGCCGATAGTACTGACACCGTTTCCTCCTCTCAGAATACTCCCACCCCTGACTCATTACCCCCTACGCAACAACATACTGACGCTAGTACACGGAGTCCTCTGTGCCCTCCGACTACATGCAGCTCCACACGCACACGTTCTAGTCGTGTTGTTTCCCTTCCACATAAGCTTGTTCAGTACGTTCGGTAGGCACGTTGTCGAGCGTTTCCTTAGTGCACGCTCTAGGGGGGAAGTACTGTAGCGATTGTAAATAATTTGCTTATTTTTCATTTTCACGCTTACCTATTTCGCTGCAGTTGTTGTACAGCTGTTTTAATTAACCATATATACATACGCTTGGTTTCGAGCTCGTCTTCCGTGGTTCTTCCTTGGTTGCCACTGGATTGTTGGGAGTGTGTGCGTCGCTGCCTGCTCTATTCACGATCGGACTCTACAAACAACTACACTTCGGCATACCTCGCGATTTACGGTTGTCCGACGCTAAGGCGCATCACGATAGTTTATATGTGAGGTAAACCTGACTGACTGGGTATTCTCCTTCAACGGTTCCTCAATAATCAAAGTGCACGAAAGTCAGTTGCCTAAATACAAATTCTGTAGCAGTGATTTGAAACTATATCCCTGGCGGTTGATTTGCCTAGTGGTTGCCTTCTTAGCAGCGCATTATCTTTTAATATTTTGTGGGGATAGGGTGAGATGCCGAGTATAATGACAGGTTCAGGGGAGGCTAAGAAAAAAGAGCAGGAACATACGCTGCATTATGAAGACAAAAATTCACTTCGGGTTGCTCGAACCATAACCAGGGATCGATAACACAAAAAGAGGCAACGAATAAGGTGTTAATAAAGCAGAGGGAGTTTTATCCACAAAGTCCATTAGTGAGTCAAACAAATGTAAAAGGCAGGATAGTTATGGTAATAATTAAGCCATCATCAAAAGTAAGCTCAAAAACCGTGAAATTTCCATCGGAGAAGGGGTAGTTTCGGGACCGAATGACCAGGTTAGCGAGATGCGATAGAGATTTAAAATGAATTCTCGTTAGGAAGAATCAACAAAACAAGACAGGCAGATTAAAATAGTGCCATATCGAAGGGCAATATAGTGATCACCCAACAAATGAGTGAACATTCAAATTTGCCGTGATTCAAACGGGTATATTAGTAGTCGAATCAATGAGACTCAAATGTGTAAAGTATAATTTGCCAACACACCGCTGATACCAATTCAAAGCCATTTGCAAGTGTGTGCAGTTCAGCGCAGTACGGCCGCAATATATCTCGGCTCTCGCTTCACCTGGCGTTGCCATTCCAATTCTCGTCATATTCGAACCAGTTCGACGAGCTATACTCAGTGCTTCCCACCTTGCGGATATACTTTGAACTGATCATACGGATGCTCAATTCACAGTCTTGGCACATTCTTCGCCGAAATCTACGCGTGCACCTACATCATTCCTCAGTTGTTCGAGAACAACTTTGATCTCATTTGGAAGAAGCTGAGAACACTCAAACGATTCTGAAACCATCTCTGCAGGCCATGGCATGAAAAAGTTACGGTATATTTTACATCGGTCATTTTGATTCTGCTTGGAGTGTGGTAGAGTCTCATTACTTACAAGCGTAACTATACCGTCCGAGAAGTCTGAAATAAGTAGTTGAAGAAACAGTAAGCACAAAAATAGCTTCAGTAGGAAGCAGCAAAGCAGAATGTTTGACCCAGAGACCTCAACTGAACTGCAAACCAGATCCACAACGCCGGGTGTTCAACTAACAAAGTGACGTCTGCGAACACAGTAAGCAACCGCCTTACCACTACTCCAGATCGCCCAGAGGTTCTTGTACTCCTCAGCTCCAGTCCATATTCCACAATTTCTCGCAAACCAATTTCTGCAAGTAGGCTTCGCCGAAACTCAGGAAATAAGCCAATATTAGTAGCATCTAAGCTGCAATCGCATAGAGGGCCCTAAAATCAGCAACCGTAATCTCTACTACCGCGTTAGAGACTAAAATGAGAGCCGATGCTGCACTGGTGCTTAGCGAATCGCCCGTTCCTCCGAGCACCATGCATACACCTCTGAAAGACACGCACAGGATGTCCGGTCCAAAAGATGTACCAACGTTCCACAGCGAATTAATTAAAAGGAAAGTAGATGAATGGTCTGGGTCAATGGAACACCATTAGCAGTCTGCTCGGTGTTCCGAAAAGCCCACTAACCCAACGAGGTCGCTCGTCACTTGAACTACAGGCATTTTCGTGAAGCCAGACTTCTTCGGGTTGTGCTAAACTCTATCGATAAGATGGAAGCCGTCCTGCTTTCGACAGGTCGTTTCCAAAACGCAACCTATTTGACCAATATCTTTCCAGACTTTCCACGGGTCGGGCATAAGCGAGCTAAGCAGAGCTTGAAAGAGTGTCATGTCGACAGCACAGCTAAGATCGCTTTTGTCCATGGCGTCCACTAGACTAATTAGCATGATGAATGCAAAGTAAGGGCAGACGGACAGAAGCAGTGGCGCTATATTCGTGACGTCCTGCTCATTATTGACGTAATAGCTGCTTCTCTCTCAAGGCTAACAAAAGCCGCAAGTTACAGGGGGTGCATACCAGGGAAATAGAGGTTGTGCTCCAAACCAAGCAGATGGAGCTTAGGCAATTGGAACTGGCAGTCACATCGGAACACACTGACGACTAAGCTCCGATTCAAAACAGTGAGCAAAAATGCCGCCCGACTAAAGCGCAAGTTCAGCAGACAAACGAAATGGGGACCCCATTCAAACTACACACTAGTGGCAGGTCTAAAAAGTAAGGATCTACCTGTGCAATTCTGTAATCACACTTCATACACAGTGGAAATGAGTTGCCAGTGAGGCTAAGTACGATGCCTCCGAACCTAACTCCAAGCGACTCGTCGATAATATCACCAAAATACTGCTGGCAGTCAACCATACAACGGTCGGTACCATCTAGTAGTCGAACCACAAGCCTTTCGGTTCGTTGCTCAGAACCGAAACACTTCACTGCATGTACATGAATTCACAAGACCTGCTCAGCAAAACTGGTGAGCATCGGATCTCAATCCATAATTAAGACATGGTTACGCTTAGAGGTTACGAATGTCGAGATCGCGATTCAAGGAATGACACATTTCCGAAACGATCGTCTCAGCAGGGGTGGTGTAATTCGATACTATCGCAACAACTTACAATGCGACCATTAGATGATCCGGAGACGCGGCGGTCAGCGATTCGCTATGGTGCCGTTAGCGTCTCAGATACAATGACAACTGGTTCGTGGCAGTCATTTATCGCCCACCATTCTCCCCTTCAGAGATGGATTCTCGCTTAATATCGTCCCTGGCAAAAACCTTACTCTCAACTTACATCCAAGTCCTTATCAAGTCAAAATATGTTTTATGAATGCAGATGGGTTGGCGGCATTCGGGTTCGGATTTGCCTGTCACTGTGGCCAGCCACAGGACGCCTGCGCCTACAGAGGAACCATGGGTGGCTTGCGCTGCACCACCCACAGCTCCAACCACACATCCCATATCCAGTGTAAACCCGAAGGAATAAGACCGGGAGGCATGTGGACAGGAGCCACGTTTCATCAACGGAGCCGGCCTACACTCCTTCACAGGCAAACACATGCACGCTGTATTTGGGGAATCAAGCGCACACTAGGCGGTAGCTGGACCGTGGTTCGCTTCACACTGAGTGCATGGAACCACTCTTCTAGCTTAACAGCCACAAGGACCGTGCACCCTGTCCCCTCCAGCAACGACCAACTGTCTCCTGGAGCTAGTATGGACGAGGTAGTGGGTAACAGACAGGTAGGCACCTTGTCAACATGCACATCAAGCACAGCCACACCGGGGATACCAAGCAACAGACATCCACTTTAAACGACAATCTGAAATAAAATAAATCCAATAATGCATACATATACGGTGGCATAACTCTTCGCCAAATTACCATATGAAGTAAGTTGGTTAGCAACGAATCCGCGATAAGTAAAAATGTCCACAAGTTAAGTAAAAATGAAACAAACGCAACAAAGTTACCGAAGATAAGCGCAATTAGCGTAAGCAACGTGGCCAGTTAATAGAAGATTATTCAGGTAGGCAGAACAAACCAAATAAAGTGGAACGAAATTTATTCAGCTTAAAAAGACCTAGTTTAAGTGTAAGCTGGTTTAGCCCAACTGCGGTAAAAAAGCGACAAGAATGCAACATCAGCCTCCGCTGGATAGATACATCTTCAGTAAATTATAATATCGACTACAGATGGACTAAAATTACATTAGCAAAAATGTAAATTGTATGAATGGAAAAATGATACGGTGTACAGGTCTAACTTTAATAAACAGTCAGTATAAACGAGCAACAAGCAAATATTTCCGGACAATAATCTAAAGCTGCATTCTGTTGATGGACCAGCGTTGCAAGCTAGATGGTCAATCGGGACGGTCCATGTTTAAGTGCGGGGTATCTTGAGCATTTCTCAAGTGAACGGAGGACAGCAGTGGTGACCTTGGATATGGGGGGACAAAAGTTAATGTTGAACTGTTCCGAAAAAACTAATCTATCCGTAGCGATATTGTAAAAACGATGTACAGTGAAAATGGCACAGCCCCGCCACTGTCTACCAACAACATACATGACCTGGACGCCTTGGCATCTCCCAGCGAAACATTAAAGGTCGAACTGCAAGATCTTATCGCAAGCATTTCACAGTATAATCAC